GCTCTCTCCTCGCTGACACAGGAGCCGTGCCAGCCGCATGTGCGCGACAGGCAGAACACAGCCGGGTGCTTCGAGGCAGTCCACCCTGCCAAGCTTCACAACCGCATCATCTCCAGCGGCAACCATGTTTGGAGACTCTGGCACCAGCCCTGATCCGCTGCGAAGCATCAGGCTTGCGATGCTTGCCTCGCCAGACTCCAGGTGTAGGCACCCTGAAGTCGGGGCATGGCAATGGGTGCAGCTGATCTGCTGCGACACGAGCTTTCTTTGGGCATAGATGGCGCCACCCGTGCCCTTCGCTTTGCAGTCGATCAACGAAAGCGGGGCAGCGAGCTCGGCCCCGGCTTTGACGTAGACACAGCCGCCGTGGCTCGCGGCAGAGCAGTTCGACACGTGCAGCCCCCAGGCCTCTCAGCACCATGTCATGCGCACAAAAGGTAGGTCCGATCAACATCCTAGTCTAGTCTTCCACCCGGTGCAAGGGTTAGGAGGCTGAGATTAAACATGGCAGTGAAGCTTCCAGCATCAAAAATTTCAAACCCCTGCCTTGTTGATCCACGTCGTCATGATGCCTCCACCTTTATCTGCATGGGAGTCGCGGATGGTCAGCGTGGCCATCTCCTCCATCGTGACGTTGCCAGGCGAGAAAATGCCACCTTGCCGTGGAAACGCTCCCGCTAAACGAATCAGCAGCATGCCAGCGGCTCAAAGCATCCGCCAAGCTTCAGGACTCCTAGAAACCCGGGCCGGTGCCTCCTTCGTGAATGGCTTTGCAGCCCCCAAGGCTCACAGCGCCGCCGGACTGCGTGAAATCGTCCCCAGTGAAAATGCAGCCTCCAGGGCAAGGCAGGTGTGATTTGCCGATTGGACTGAAAGCTCGTTTGACCACCTTGTCTTCGCTTCACGATACCACAGCCAAATGTTTCCAGCAAATGCAGCACGGTGGAGGGTTCAGCATGTGATGCAACCGCTAGCCACGAGTCTACAAAATCCAAAGGATGAACTTCAATCACGGGGCTCTTGCAACAAGCAACCGCAGTACCCAACATACAAGCAGGCTCGTTCAAAGTTTTCTCGAGTTGGGGATCGAACTGTTGCAGGTCTGCTGGTGATGCTGATAGAAGCAATCCAGCCAGTTTCCCTAATTTCTGGCCGGGTCGATGCTCCGGAGCTCCCGACAGGGCTCTTTACAGCAAGAGCTTGCACATGGCATCAGTTGCTCCAACTACTGGGCTCCCCCGAAAGCTCTCAGCTCGTATCAAGTTTAGTTCGAAGAACCCTGCGCCGTAAAGCTTCTTCAGACTTCTGGCTTCCAGAGCCAACAGTCAACCTGTGGACATGGCTGCTGGCCGCTGGCTACGAATCTGAATGATGAATTTCATGTGCGAAACCGTGCAAGAGAGCTCCCAGACATTTTCAACGGACAAGCATGTGGAAGAGGGCGGCATTGCTCGAGGCAATGAGCTGCTGGTGCTTGAAACCTCTGTTCAAGATGCGGCTACGGTGCCGACATCAACCGTCAGTCAGCGAGAGCATACTCGTTTCCTGCGGTTGGGCAAGACCATCATGCATCCAACGTGTTTCCGCCTTGAAGACTGAACACCTAAACATTGCTTGTGACTTGCCGCGCTGCAGCACAGGCTGCATCTGCCTGCAAACCTCTCACGCCTTGAACGCGAAGACCCCTCCGCCCCAAAACTGCATGGCCCATGACGCTGCTGGGCGAGGATCCCTCGAAAGCGACCCACTCCCCCCGCTGCCTCCATGCTGCCAAGCCTTAGACTCCGTGGCGGTGACATTGCCACCGGAGACGTGCATGTCCCACTCTGCCAAGATGGCACCTGCATGCGCGTGCAGCAGCGTCGCTCAACTGCTGCTTATACCTATACCTGGAAAGCCAGTAGTCTGTATTTTGGGCCTACTTTGAGCCAATTCTGGGCTACTTTAGGGTATCGTAGTCTGTTATTTTGGGCTACTTGTCTTTTCAGGTAACCCCAAAGCCGGAAGTATGTAAGGGCTGATGACTTCGGGGTTAGAGGGGGTTAGGGTTTCGGCTCCTGAGTGAGGTTCAAAAGCTGGGCCGTGCACGCGCGCTTTATCACCGCACACAGCTTCCGGACAAGCTTGAGGAAGCATGAAGTCTGCAACAATCCGCCTGGCATCTCGAAATTCACAGAAGGGCGAAGCAAGGGCCACACACATGTACCCAAGCCCTACGATACCGGGCTCAGCGCTGAGCCAAGGTCGGAACTAGTGCAGACAAGGCTCCATGCCCCCAACCAAAGGCAACGATGGGAACATCTCTGCTCCGGCTTGGGGTTTAGGGTTTAGAGGTTCAGGGTTTTGGGGGTTTAGGGGTACCAGAAACACAAAAATAAGCACAAGGAGGTGTCCTCTGCAGGAGCCTCCGAAGCTTTCCAATCCGAAATGCTCCAAGCTCGTCACATACCACCTGCAAGGAATCAAAGCCCTAAGGGTCCATGTACCCAAAGAGTATATACCTTGGCCTTAAAGTAGTCCCTAGAAAGGTACTTTGGGGCCAATGTATCTACTATTTGGGTACATGGACCCTCAGGGAAGCAGAATGATCCCGGGTAATGTAGGATGAGCAGCACCATCTGCGAACACTTACAAGGCATCCTCTGGCACTGGGAATGACTCTTTAGGCAGTGTCAAAGAGAGGTTCCGTGCCGAGGGCGGCTGCGTGTTCGAGACAGCTACATGCAGCATGCAGTTCAGCAACCGGCCCGAAACCAGTCAACTTGATGCTGGGGTGATCTTTGCAGGGACGCACTGACGCAAGAGCACTGGGTCTGCATTCTCGCTTCAAGGCTTCCCAAGCTTATACCTTTTCTGCGATACTCTCTCTCTCTCTCTATATATATATGTATATATATATATATAAATATAAATATAAATATATATATATATATACATATATATATATACAAGTACGCCAAGACCGTGTGTCCCCAGCCTATGTTAAGCCCTAGGAATAAACCCTTTATACAAATTCTGCAAAAGGAACCTCTGCTTCATGTGGGTGTGGTTGTTCGTAGATTTGCGGCTCGTCAAGGTGTGGAAAAACCTGGGCTACTCAAATCTGGGTTTAGGGTCTAGGGATTTAGGGTTGGGGGATTAGGATTCCTGAGTTAAATTTGCAGCTGGTGTGTTGAGCAGGATTTGGCTATCGCAGGCCTTGATGTTTGAATTGTCTAAATACCAATGTTTAGAAGACCTGCAGCTCTAACCCCTTACCCTAAACCCTAAACCCTAAACCGCGCCTTTTATCCAGTACACACCATGGCCTTCACCCATAGGCCCCTAAGTAGTTCCTTTTTATGGTTTATACATAGAGTGTTAGAAGGTAATCCCCAAAAAAGGAACTACTTAGGGGCCTATGGGCAGGTTCAGCTGGCGTTTGCTGATTTTCCCTGGCGGCACCTCAAATGCGGATTCGATCCTCTGCCTGACGAGGGTTTAGGGTTTTGTAGGTTTAGGGTCTAGGGTTTAGGGTTTAGGGTTTGGCTTTAGGGCTTATAGGGTTTAGGGTTTAGGGTTTTTGGTCTGGGGTTTCGCTAGGACATGGGGCTTAAACTATGATTTTAAACGCTTCGCGTCGTCCGCCTCGGCCCGGCTGTACTTGAAGCAGGTGCATTGCTTCGGAAAGCAATGGGTAGGTCGCACTGTTGCAGTCTTGAGTGAACGAGCGCAGTTGCTTCAGACTGTGTTTTAATGTCAGTATTTGTGGCACATGCAGTGCATTATCCCATAGACGTTACTATAATGTTCGCATCACACTTCTCACTGGTCTCGTATGCAACCTCCCATGTGTTGGAACGGGAATCAAGCTTTGCAACGAAGTACAAGACACAGCCTCTGAATTCCCAGGCTTTAGCATCAACTTCACGAATGATGCAAGCTGTTCGCAAAGAAAACACGCCCAAACTTGGTTGCTCCCGTGGACGTAGGGGTCGCCAACCCGAAATCCAATTTTGGGGAGGGTTTAGTGGGCCTAAAGAGGGATTCCGTGTGGGAACTCTGACCGCTACGTCCTTCAGGTATATTGGGCTCTCCCGGTCGGCTGTGCATGATTTAGCGGTTTTTGTTGGTCTACATTAGGTTCTGTAAGGGTGTTGTACAGGGTTTACCTTGTTCCCGTGGTAGGGCCCCTTAATTTCCTGAATCACACATGTCTGGTTTAGGATTAGCAAGTCGTGTTAAGATTGGGTTTACGGTTTAGGCTTACATGATTCCGGTTTATGGGGCTTCGTCGTGGCTTCCGGTGTGGAGTTTCGTGCTTCAGGTGTATAAGGTAGTTTTAAGTGTGGGATTTCGTCTGTGACGTTTCCAGCATAAAGGTTCGTCATGGCCAGGGCGCAGGGTATTATGTTTAGGGTTTACCTACTTTAATGTACGGCTTCGTGTTTACAGCTGCTGAGCGCCTGTTCACTTTCCATGTGTTGCTCTTCTGGCACTTCTTTCGGAGTTTAAGCTCATGTTGCTCGCCCCGAGGTTCAGGAATGCAATACTGACTGCGCGTGTGCATGCGCGCGTGGGTGGGTGTGGGTGTGGTGTTTAGGGGTTCAGGGTTTAAACCTAAACCCTAAACCCTAAATTCAAAGGGCATCGTACATCGTGCAGTCACCAAAAGGCCTTTAAAAAACAAAAAAACTCTAAGGGTTTAACGGTTACCGATTTAGGCACCACCACCAGAACAGATTCTGAGAGTCCGGTTGCTGTCAGGGTTCCTTTAAGGGGGCTTGAAAGGGTTGCTATCTATGACGGCTTCGTGAACGTGCCCTAATGACTAGAATAGGGTTTGGGTTTGGGTGCATATTTTCAGTCAAAATAAGGAACGACACTGAGAAATGTTGATGATTATTCAGGCCCCTATATTAAGCCCACATCCTAAGCCCTAAACCGTAAACCCTGAACCCTAAACTCTAAACCGAGTGTTTGACCAGTGGGTTTCTAAAACACGCAGGTCTTTTGCTGTGTCGAGTTTAGGGCTTAGAGATGTTTAGAGTCTAAGGTTGTGCCCTAAAGAAATGGTAATTCCTAGTTCAGCCGTAGCAATGATGCTCATAGTAGCAGCCACTGCTTAATATTGCTACTTGTTTACTCAAGTGAGCACGAGGAAGTCCTCGTCCGGGACCACTGGAGCCTTTGTTGAGCTGGTTCCGGATGCTTGGCGCTCGGCGGTGGGGGGATCATAAAACTAAGGGCGAAGGCCGGTCGGCCAATCAAGAAACTTCACAGATAACACAACCCCGAGACGCATGCTGAAGTGCACGCATGCCTCCAACCTTGCATACATGCATATGCAAGCTATAGAGAGTTGGACGGACGCAGAGATACAGCGTGCTTTCTTAAAAACGCACGCACATAGCACAGACAATGAGCATTGCTCGATTTGTGTTCCCCAAAGTACTGCCCAAACCCTAAATCCTACCCTAATTCTGAGAATCCTGGACCCTAAAATTACGATGTAATTCCGAAGCCTTAAACTCTGATATACACTCAAACCCCAATTCTCTAAACCCTGGAAACCCCTCATGGAAGCTCTTGTAGAATGATACCATGATCTAAACTTCAGCCTTAACCCATCAACAGTACGTTATGAAACTACAAATTTATAAATATCAAGCCTCTTGCTTAAGGGGTATTGGGCTGTCTGGGATAGTGTAATGCCGTGCCCTCAGCCTGCTTGCGCAAGCTGCCTGCTACTGTGACCTAACTGCGAACCTAGCTGTTGTGTTTGGGGTGTGGCTTTGGGCTTGGAATGTAAACCCTCTACACTGAACCCTATGCCCCAAGCCCTTACAAACTGT